AAACAATTCTTCCGAAAGGAATGTCATTTGTGTGCGAAACACGTTTAAAACCTTTTTTTTCAAAGACAAATTCAATGGAAGTGCATAAAAGATTATTTCCGAATAGATCCTCACCATGCATATATCTGGTTTATATCAGTGATATTACTTACGTTTGAATGATTTGTTCTACAATAAAACACATTAATTAGTAATTAGTAAGAACTTTTGGATGACCTAAACTAAATCTATGTTAATTATTTAATTTTGTGCAACTCATAGAAATAAGAAGGTAGTTTAGAAAGGATAATTTATAGCTTCTATTCTTAATTATGCATTTAAAACATTTATATATATATATATATATATATATATATGTATAAAGTAGTAATCTGTTTGTATGTCAGATTAAAGCTCATGACGGATTTTCCTAAAATTTTGATGGAAGAGCTCGGAACAACCTCGGAAATGTTTTATCTTGGTTTAAAGATTCCCAGTTGAGAAGGTTGGCTTTACAGGGAAAAATTTGTTTCCAGGTTTAAGCTGGGTCTCCAAGCTAGTTTTGGATATTTTACATATACGGTTAGCATGTGTTAGTACTTAAGGTTTTATTTAATCATATTCCAAACTTTAAACAAAGGAAGTTTAAGTCTTATAAATTTAAGTAATTCAGCCTGCAAACACAATGGTCAATTATTTTATATTTATTCACTTGCCAGATAATTAACAACTAAACGGAAATGTATTAGGATATTAGGTGATATTTTCCCTCCGTTTGGTTTTAACAAAACATTAGTGATATGTTTATTTATGAATTTTACTTTAGTGCGTCTTAATATGTAGTTGATCGAGTACAAATAGTTTAGGACTTCTCTTAGCGAACGGAAAAAACCGTTAATTTACATTTGTAAAAGTATGGAAAAACCTCTAACAAAAGTCAAACGTAAAATAAAAAAGTGTAATTTTTGAAAAAGGACAATTTTTTTAGTCTTGTCTAAACAAATCTAAACCAAAATAAGTACTTTTTGGACTTTAACTCTATAAAGGCTTGATCTATGTATGGTCCAAGTTGGGGGGCGGAAGTAGGGTGTACCACTCCCTCCCTAGAAAAAAATCCTTTGATTCAAAATATTACTTTACAATACATGGTTGTAGTCCAATATTTTAGGCCAGCTTATTGAAAAAAAATCCAACCTCTAAATTTTAAAGTTCCGGTACTAGGAAGGTTAGAAAAAAGTGTCAAAACAAAGGTCGAAAAATTTAAAAATCTTTTTTGTTTATGTGTTTTTGACAAATATTTAAAGGTAACACATGTTTGTATCTCCATTTTTAAGGGGTTTTCAAAAATGTAGTTTCTAGCTTGAATAACAAAAACAGTTATGGGCATTTTAAATTTTTTCAAAAACTGACCGGCCTTTTTACCGGCCTGCTTACCCTACCCTATGCGTTAAAAAAATGTTTGCAAAAATCATTTATATTACTCTTTATTAAAAGTAAAAAAAAAATCAAAGTGCTACATAGAGTCAAAAATGAGAGAGCAAAAAAATTGAGACGGGCAGCAAACGACCCCACCCCGCCCACCCCCCCGCGCAAAAATACCATAACTTTAAAACCAAAGTATCAAAACTCGGGAAAACCTAAAAAATGTGTACGCTGAACAGTTAGAGACTCCAGCTATTTCAAACAAATTAAAGTATCTTTTTGCTCATGTCTATGTAAAAAATTTTGTTTTAAATGTAAGTAAATATTTAAAAAAAATTATATTTTGTATTAAAAGGGACCGTTCACTTATTTGGGTAATTTCAGGGTAAACTAAACAGCTTATTCGCTCTTGATTGGTAATAGTCTTTCTTTTCAAAGACAACTGTGACCAAAGAAAAAGCCGATTTTTCGTTCAGAATTTGAGCGGAAAGGGACACTATTTGATTGTTTTTTTTTTCAGTAACAGCACCCCCAATAAAATTCAAATTTATTATATTTTAATGTCATTATGTGTTCGTTATTATGTACTAAAATGTGAAAACTTTTGATATTTGAGTTAGCCAGAATTTTACGTTTTTCGTATTAAAACATGTAAAATGTGTATACAAAGACGACGCATCTACAATAATCAATTAATTATTGCTCATATTTTGGTTCGTAGATTCACTCCACGTTCGATTTGAATAAAATGTATCGTATATTACAATTGCAATTATGCATTTTTGAGTGATAGTTGATTTTATTAAAACATCATTGAATAAAGCGAATAAATTGAATAAATAATAGACATAATTGAATAAATCAGCTGATAGTATTATTTCACAAGAAAATAATACGTCAGACGTCTGTCAGCTTTCCTGTTTTCAAGAAGATCAGCTGCAGTCGCAGTTCGAGAAATTCAAAATGAATGTATTTTCATATTATACGATTTTTGTACCCCCCCCCCCTTCCTATCAATTTTGTTTCCGTATGTGAGCAACTTTTCATTTTTCATGCTGCGTTCAATTCAGCTTTTTCAGCTTTTTATCACAGGCAATAAATGCCATAAAATAGTTTTATTTTAGAAATAGAAAAATAATGACATTTACAATAAACGATTAGATACTACAGTTTAATTTTATATTCGAAATTTATTTTTATCCACAACATATTAAAAAAACATCATTTATGTCTATTGAGAGGGACCGTCCCATTCCGCCGAAATTCTGAACGAAAAATCAGCTTTTTCTCCGGCCACAGTAGTCTTTGAAAAGTAAGACTTTTACCAATGCACAGCGAATAGGCTGTTTAGTTTACCCTGAAATTACCCAAATAAGTGAACGGTCCCTTTAAAACTAAATAATAAAATCACCAACCACAAACCACCACATTCTTTCCTTTAACACTCCCCCCAACCCCGGCTCCGTCTCCTCGTAGTCGTACCCTCTTTCCGCTTCCCTCCTCTTAGCTCCCCTTTCACCTCTTCTTTTCCCCCCTCTTTTCACCTCTCTCCATACTTGATTTCCTATTCTTCTTTTCCACATTAAAATTTCAACCTCCTTTACAGTCATTCTTTTCTTTTCCCCCTTTTTTTCTCATCTCTACTCTACTCCTTCTCTTTTTTCACAAGTTTTTCCCTGTCATTACTCCATGCTTTCATCCCTCTCAATTCTCCCTCGCTTTTCTTCATCCTTTTTACTTTTTTCCTTTGTTTTTCTTTGTACTTTCCATTTCCTACTTATTCTATTTCTTATGAATTTATAATTACATTAAGGTTCGGTTTATAATCCAAACAATTGAATTTAATGCAGTACGGTTTATATCTGGCTATCTGTATAACTATTATAAATGTCTAAAGTTATACTCGGATGCAGTACAGTTTATATCTGGCTATCTGTATAACTGTTATAAATGTCTAAAGGTATACTCGGATGCAGTACGGTTTATATCTGGCTATCTGTATAACTATTATAAATGTCTAAAGTTATACTCGGATGCAGTAGTTTATATCTGGCTATCTGTATAACTATTATAAATGTCTAAAGGTATACTCGGATGCAGTACAGTTTATATCTGGCTATCTGTATAACTATTATAAATGTCTAAAGGTATACTCGGATGGAATTTTCCTATCAATAAAATGCTTCAGAAAATTTAAAGTGGATTAGATTAAGTTAATTCAAATTTTAGTAAAATTTATTGGTTTATTTTTTCTGAATTTTTTTGAATATATGTTTAAGCGTGTTGTTAGTTTATCTATCCCCCCAAAGTGTCCCAGACTGAATACAATGGTAATTTGTAGAGGGAAGGGTGGCAGTTTCAAATAAAATATTTAGCAAATTCTGCGGTAACTGCGGGATAAAATTCCAAGATTTCAAAACGGTATTCTGTTAAACATTGCTTTTATTAAACTTTGCAATATTATTATCCTGGAAAAATAGAGAAACGATCCAAAAACGATCATTATAGCATGTTCGTTTTGAGTTGTTTTTATGACCTTTTTTTGCATTGTTTTTCTGACAGGGTCAAAATTTGGCAAAGTGTAAAAAAAGCAATAGAGTTAACACTATTCCAAATTCTTACCATTTTTTTTGTGCGCCGGATCAAGTGGATAAATGGGGTTATATTGATCTACAAAATTCAACTACGCATTAAATCTGGTCCCTTATAACCTCCTATAGACCAAAATCTCGATTTTCTATTTTCGATAACCAAAGCTTGTCAAAAAGAAGTAAAAATGTTTACTTTTCTTTGTTTGTTTTATTCGATATTACCGAAAACAATATTTGCACCCAAGTATGTACAATGTATATGTATATGATGGTTGAACATATTTTTGAGTGCTTTTTGTTTTACTATTAAAAAGGAAGTTTGATTCCAGCCGTAGGATTTCACTTACCTAATAATTCTTACCCAATCCAAAAGATTTTCGTCCAACTCTAGGATTTTATTGAAAAATACAAGATTTATCCAAAGCTATCAAAATCTGCCACCCGCCCCTCTGTAAAAATAATGCTAATAAAATAGTGGTAATAGAATAGATACTTGTCAGTGGACGTTTACTCTTCCTACAGGTTAAAGTTTTTATAGAAAAATTATATTTAAAGGAATTAAGTGTTTGCAACAAACTAAAATATTTAGCCTTTCACAATCAAAACTTAGGGTAATTTGATCTAACAGAATTCATAGTTTGAAATATCTAAGGCTTCAACAACATTGAGGTTTTAAGATTTAAGAATTAGAAAAACAGAATTTGTGACAAATAATCAATTCCTTTACCAAATATTCTTTTGTTTTTAAAGTATCTAAAAAGATCTTTTTAAATACATTTAGCATCAAAGGAATTGAGTTTTTGCCACAAACTCTGATTTTCTAATTTCAATATCGCTGCAAACCAATGTCGTAGACTTTTAATATTTCAAACTATGAATGCTATTAGATGAAATAATGTAAGTTTGAAATATCAAAGGTTTAAATAATAAGGTTGCACAGATATTGATTTTACAAAACTGAATTTGTGGCAAAGACTCAATTCCTTTAAAACTTGAATTATCCAGGCAGTAAGATGGGACCAGCTGATAACGAAGGATTTGAAGATGACCCAAAACCCTGGAATGATTGTGAGAGCTATGTTTATGATCAAGAGAAAACACTGGACCTTCTTACTATTGATGCTCGGCCAAGTGAGAAAAGTTATGAAAGGCTAGAGAAACATTCATCAGATCACAGACCCACCATTGAGGAATTGATGACTGGAGAAAGAATAAAGAGAGAAGAGGAAGAAATTGAAAAAACCATTCTTTCTGGAAAAGTTGTAAAGTTTGGATGGATAGAAGGAGTGTTTATGAGGTGCTTACTGAACATCTGGGGGGTTATGTTGTTCTTGCGACTCTCCTGGGTTATTGGACAAGCCGGGTATGTTCAAGGCCTTATAATCATAACACTTTGTAATGCCATAACACTGATAACAGCAATATCTATGTCTGCAGTAGCTACCAATGGAAGAATAGCCAGTGGAGGAGTTTATTACATGATATCAAGAGCTCTGGGACCTGAATTTGGAGGTGCCATTGGACTGATGTTCACATTGGCAAATTCTATTTCTGTGGCAACTTACACCCTAGGATTTGTAGATAACCTTCTGGATTTGGTTTATGATGTTACAGACTTTCAGGGAATCGTAGCTGATAGATATGATCGCCTTAATGATCTGAGATTAATAGGAGCCCCAGTTATTGTGTTGATTCTACTCTTGGCTATTATTGGAATGGACTGGGTTACAAGAGTTCAGAAACTTCTGCTTGTAATGTTAATAGTGGCACAAATAGATATGGTTGTTGGCACCTTTCTGACAGGAGGAAATGCATATGTTTCAGAAGCTGAAAGAGCTGCTAAAGGTTTTACAAGCTGGAGTCTTGACACAATGCAAAAAAACTATGAAGCAAAATATTATCCAGATGAAGATGGAAATAGGGATTCTTTCATGTCTGTCTTTGGTGTATTCTTCACAGCAGTAACAGGAATAGTAGCTGGCGCCAACCTTTCTGGAGATTTGAAGGATCCTTCATCTGCAATTCCAAAAGGAACTCTCCTTGCTATTGGGTTTACATATATTTCTTATGCTGGATTTGGAGTTTTAGTGGCTTTTAACTTCCTTCCAAGAACAAGTGGAAATGCAATTGAATACCTGAATAATACAGGAATATATCCAGAGATCACAAACTGCACAGAGGAGGCAAATGCAGTTAGAATTGAATATAATTTGACTGAAACATCTTGTATTTATGGATCAGCATATGACCAGAAAGTAATGACACTAATGTCAGGTACAGGTTATCTTGTATATCTTGGATGTTATGGTGCAACTCTTTCCTCAGCTATTGCAAGTTTAGTTGGAGCACCAAGAGTTCTTCAAGCTGTTGGAAGGGATAAGATATATCCAAAACTTGAGTTTTTTGCTGTTGGACAAGGTGCTAACAATGATCCATTTAGAGGGTACATTTTAGTATTCCTGATTGCATTTGGATGTTTGATGATTGGAGAATTAAACACAATTGGAAGCCTTGCATCTAACTTCTTCTTGGCTGCCTATGCTCTAATGAACCTCTCAGTTTTCCATTCCAGCATGACCAAATCACCTGGATGGAGACCAACCTTCAAATTCTACAACAAATGGATATCTCTAATTGGTGCAGCAGCTTGTATTGTTTTAATGTTCCTAATGGACTGGAGACTTGCCTGTGCTACAATTATTTTAATTTCAATTCTCTACAGCTTGATGCTTTATTTAAAGCCAGATGCCAATTGGGGAAGCTCTGCAGAAGCTCTCAAGTTTTCTAATGCATTAAACAATGCAATTGCTCTAAATGATCAAGATGATCATATAAAGACATTCAGACCACAGATACTTCTACTATGTGGAGATCCTGCTCATAGACAACCTTTAGTAGACTTTGCCAATTTAGTCACTAAAAAATTGTCTGTATTGATCTGTGCCCAAGTTGTACCTGAAGACCAAAAGGGAGAAAAAGATGATTTAAAGAGGGCAGCACATAAATGGCTTTCCACTCATAAAATTAGAAGTTTCTTTTTGGCAATACCAAATAATAAATTCAGTGACGCAGTTAAGTATGCCGTAATGCTTTCAGGAATTGGACGTTTAACTCCAAACATGGTAATGATGGGGTTTATCAGTAGTAATAAGGACATGAACAAAATATCTGAATACTTCCAGTCTTTGATTGCATCATTTGAGAATAATATAGCAGTTGGAATACTTAGGCTTCCTAATGGAGTTGACTATTCCTCCGTTATAGCAGATCAAAACACAATAATTGAAGAAGACCACTCAGTGCCAAAAAAGAACGGAATTTTTCAAAAGAAGATTACAACTCATTTCTATGGAACAGATGGTAAACCTCTGAAGTTACAGATTGTCAATGAAATAGAACAGTTCAGGCTTCCAGGAGGGAAAGGATTTATTGATGTTTGGTGGCTTTATGATGATGGTGGACTAACACTTCTGTTACCTTATATTTTACAAACAAGAAAACGCTTTAAAGATTGCAAACTTAGAGTTTTCTCCCTGTCTAATGGACCTGGTAATGATGAAGAAGACCAACAAACCTTTGAAAATCTTATCAAGAAATTCAGAATTGATGTAGAGCAAGTATTTGTTATACCTGATATTACAAAGAAAGCAAAGGTTGATACTAAAGGGGAGTTTGATCAGCTCATCTCAAGGTATCCTGAGGGTTCTATAACCAAGGCTGATCTTAAGGCTAATTCCGAAAGAACAAATAGATGTTTAAGAAAGGCTGAGTTATTGCGTGAAAGATCAAGAGGAGCAGAACTGATTGTTTTAACTCTGCCATTACCCATGAGAGGGCAGTGTTCTCCAGCATTATATATTGCCTGGTTGGATATCATGACAAAGGGACTCCCACCTACACTCTTAATAAGAGGAAACCAATCCTCTGTTCTAACCTTCTACTCATAAAGTAAGTGGATTGTTCATTTTCGAATACTAATTTATTGTTAAACTATATTTTCATTGAATTGTTAAGTTTATGTATTGTTTTTTCAAATGAAGTCTATGCATACAAATACCATTTTTCTTCATTTAACTTACTAAAAATCCTGATATAAGAACATCCTATGTAAAATAATCTTTTTTCATTAATTGCTTTTATAACTAAATGCTTCATAAATCTCTAACTTATCAATTAAATTTAGTTAACATTTCAGCATTTGATTTGGTTTTTATTTATTTTAGTGCCAAACAAACATACAAAATGAATAATTGGGATGTTTAATTTTAGTTTCTTTCAAAGTTTTTTTCTTCAAATTATTTCTGCTAAAAAATTATTTTTTTTAGTGAGGATTTCAGACTTCCTTCTTAACTCTACTTCAGTTCAAGGGTACACCAACCAATTCAATAGCCATTACATTTAAATCAAACCTTCTTTGAATTCCAAAAAGTTAACGTTAAAGCTTGGGATAAAATATAACTAAAAAGGCTTGAACCTTCTTGATAAAGAGAAAATTTCTGTCAAAAAACTTTATAGCACTGTGAACCAAAATGATAGCATAATAAATAGTTAATTTATTTATTTACCACCACTAATTGTTCTCCAATATTCTGGTAAAGCCTCTAAGCATGAAGACTGTTTGAGTGACCCACTGATCATTTTTAGAAGTTCAAATATGTTTTAAGTTTTTATGCTTGTACAGTGCTCTTGTAATATTTTATTGTTTCAATGTTATTGTTTGTTCTAGTTTTTGATATGAAATAAAAGGTATTTCTGTAAAAATTCCTGAAAATGAGATCATAGACAATATTCTTACATAAAACAAAAGTAATATTGTTGGAGTTGGAAAATTTTAAGAGTCAAAACACTACATATTGATGCTGAGAAGACTAAAAATTGTATACCAATTAGCACAAAATCTGTAGTAAAAAGGCTATACAAAATTAGACTTTCAAAAAACAAAGCAAAATTACCATAACCTAGATGACATTTCTGATGGAAAACCAACTGAAATGGAGAAAATAATAAAGAAACTAAACCTTGCCAGATTTTAAGAAAAAGGCTTTGAAAAAAAAGTGAGCACCTTCCACCGGAAAAGCAAAACTATAGACTGGCAAGGCAGGATTTATGATATATAACATATATAGAACATTACATCTTTTCATGAAAATATAAATTTCATGAATTTAGTCTTTTGAAAGGTTTAGGTGTCTGATCCCATGGTGCGTGAACAAGAGGGTGTCCCAATAAACAGGGGAATTAGGAGACAAGTTGTAACTCGTCCTTGGTTTCTGATAATGATATGACAAAAAGTGCAGTTGCAGTTCAAATATTAAATATTTGATTTTTTCTTTGTCTTTAAATAATTTGGAATCTGGAAAGAGTTCTCATTTCTTTCCTAAAATTTAAAGGTACAAAAATGGTGGACCACATTTTGTAATTCCTGAGAACAGCACGTAATTGTGTTTTTTAAGTGTGATATAACTATAGTTATGTTCACAAAACAATGCCGCATGATTCAAAGACAATGAAGAAGTCATCACTTAATTTCTAATGTTTTATGTTTTTTGGGACAAACTGTATCCCTGCAGTTGGATGTCTGCTAGTGCTAATTGTGCATGTATTTCAGTTGTACATTTTAATAATCATAGTTTTTTTATTCTTTTACTTTCAGCAATCTGGTAATACTAGGAGTTTTCAGAAACTATACTGAACCAGTATATTGAATAAATATCTATCATTTTGAAATGTTTTTACTAGTGTTTGTTGGTAATACAAAAGTTTTCCACTAATTTGTTCATTTTATTTAAAGTGTAATTTTCCTACTTTTTAATGTAATTTCTCAGCATTCCGCATATATATATATGTCTTATTTTGAAATGTATTGTTGGATTCTTTATTATTTGAACAGCACAAGAACAAAAACTGGCATTTATTTTTAAGTGAAAAAGAAAAGAAGAATTCTATTTATGAAATAATTAAAAGAATCCAATTAAAAAGTATTAAAACACTTTAACTATTCACAAGCTGTTGTTTGTTTCAAACCTGTCTAATAATGTGCCAAAACAAAATCTGCACACAAAGCCATCCTATGGTAGCCCTCAAACTTTTCTAACTATGATTATTGATGGTATATAATAAATTCAAATTAATTTAAAGCAATATGAAAAGATAAGTCTGAAATTGGATATTACAAAGATCATTTAGAGTATATCGCGCTTATTTGATGGTAACTTAGAGTAACTGCTTTAATACCGAGTCCTTCTATTAGGCTATGTATATCCTCAACAATCACCAAAATAATTGTTTAAAGTTATTGGAAACATTTTTTCTTAAACAATGTTAAAATGTTTTTATTTGGATTAAAATGCTCACAATTTATTGTTTGGAAAATAAAATAAGTCTAATATTAAATTGGCATTTTTGCTCACTCAGAGGTGGCTTAGGGGGGGGGGGCAGGGTAAAGGGGGTACTTCCCCGCCCCCTGGAAAATTTTGGGGGAACTCGCCCCTTTAAAAGTTAGTGGTGCAAGAAAAGAGAGCAGGCATCTTCTATCCTTTTCATTTTAAGAAGTGATTCATAAAAAATTTGAATCAAGAGAAGATTTTAAATTTTTTTATTTTTCAACTCCGACACTCAGCTTGTCATGGTTATGACACAAAAATGATCAAAGGAATTGAGTCTTTGGAACAATATCAAATATTAAAACCTCAATATCTTTAAAACCCGATGTTGTAAACCTTTGATATTTCAAACTCAGATTATTTGATCTAACAGAATTAATAGTTTGAAATATCTAAGGTCTGCAACATTTGGTTCCAAAGATATAGTGATTAGAAAATCAGAGTTTGTGGCAAGGACTCAATTCCCCTGTTAAAACATCCAAGGGGAAGGGGAATCTTTTCTATGCAGGGGGGATATACATTTCAGTGTGCAATAATAAAATTATTTTCTCTTTCTGGAAAAAAATATTGTAAGCCCCCGAATTCCACTGTTTTTTTAATTAAACAAATTTGGGAAAAGGAATATTATCAGTCTGAAGCTGCTACTTTTCAATAACACCCACTGAGCAACAATGTTAACAAAAATGTCAATGCTTCAGCCAAGTTAATCCATCGAATACTGTCATTCTTAAATTATAAATATTCATGGAGTTGAAAACAATATGGTTAATTGAACATTACATTAACATGATAGTAAAATTCATATTCAGGGTTTCTTACTTGTTAAAAAAGAGTAACTGTAACTGAGGTCCGATTGTTTTAGTCCAAAAAAATGATTCTATATCCCCCTATTGTGGCGCAGACTGAATACAATAGTGGCTTGTACTATATGTTTATAAAAGAAGTTGAATAGAATAGATATTTGTCAGTGTTGCCAACAATACTCATCCTTCAGGTTTAATTCAAATTACTGACATTACTTACATGAAACTTTGAGCAAACGCTTGCTTGCTATAATTTAATAATTGAGCTTATAGATTTTGTCTTAGTCCTTAAAAATATACCAATTTTTAAACGGAAAAAGAATTGAATTATCCAGGTAATAAGATGGGACCAGCTGATAACGAAGGATTTGAAGATGACCCAAAACCCTGGAATGATTGTGAGAGCTATGTTTATGATCAAGAGAAAACACTGGACCTTCTTACTATTGATGCTCGGCCAAGTGAGAAAAGTTATGAAAGGCTAGAGAAACATTCATCAGATCACAGACCCACCATTGAGGAATTGATGACTGGAGAAAGAATAAAGAGAGAGGAGGAAGAAGTTGAAAAAACCATTCTTTCTGGAAAAGTTGTAAAGTTTGGATGGATAGAAGGAGTGTTTATGAGGTGCTTACTGAACATCTGGGGGGTTATGTTGTTCTTGCGACTCTCCTGGGTTATTGGTCAAGCCGGGTATGTTCAAGGCCTTATAATCATAACACTTTGTAATGCCATAACACTGATAACAGCAATATCTATGTCTGCAGTAGCTACCAATGGAAGAATAGCCAGTGGAGGAGTTTATTACATGATATCAAGAGCTCTGGGACCTGAATTTGGAGGTGCCATTGGACTGATGTTCACATTGGCAAATTCTATTTCTGTGGCAACTTACACCCTAGGATTTGTAGATAACCTTCTGGATTTGGTTTATGATGTTACAGACTTTCAGGGAATCGTAGCTGATAGATATGATCGCCTTAATGATCTGAGATTAATAGGAGCCCCAGTTATTGTGTTGATTCTACTCTTGGCTATTATTGGAATGGACTGGGTTACAAGAGTTCAGAAACTTCTGCTTTTAATGTTAATAGTGGCACAAATAGATATGGTTGTTGGCACCTTTCTGACAGGAGGAAATGCATATGTTTCAGAAGCTGAAAGAGCTGCTAAAGGTTTTACAAGCTGGAGTCTTGACACAATGCAGAAAAACTATGAAGCAAAATATTATCCAGATGAAGATGGAAAAAGGGATTCTTTCATGTCTGTCTTTGGTGTATTCTTCACAGCAGTAACAGGAATAGTAGCTGGCGCCAACCTTTCTGGAGATTTGAAGGATCCTTCATCTGCAATTCCAAAAGGAACTCTCCTTGCTATTGGGTTTACATATATTTCTTACCTAGGATTCGGAGTTTTAGTGGCTTTTAACTTCCTTCCAAGAACAAGTGGAAATGCAATTGAATACGCGAATAATACAGGAATATATCCAGAGATCACAAACTGCACAGAGGAGGCAAATGCAGTTAGAATTGAATATAATTTGACTGAAACATCTTGTATTTTTGGATCAGCATATGACCAGAAAGTAATGACACTAATGTCAGGTACAGGTTATCTTGTATATCTTGGATGTTATGGAGCAACTCTTTCCTCAGCTATTGCAAGTTTAGTTGGAGCACCAAGAGTTCTTCAAGCTGTGGGAAGGGATAAGATATATCCAAAACTTGAGTTTTTTGCTGTTGGCCAAGGTGCTAACAATGATCCATTTAGAGGGTACATTTTAGTATTCCTGATTGCATTTGGATGTTTGATGATTGGAGAATTAAACACTATTGGAAGCCTTGCATCTAACTTCTTCTTGGCTGCCTATGCTCTAATGAACCTCTCAGTTTTCCATTCCAGCATGACCAAATCACCTGGATGGAGACCAACCTTCAAGTTCTACAACAAGTGGATATCTCTAATTGGTGCAGCAGCTTGTATTGTTTTAATGTTCCTAATGGACTGGAGACTTGCCTGTGCTACAATTATTTTAATTTCAATTCTCTACAGCTTGATGCTTTATTTAAAGCCAGATGCCAATTGGGGAAGCTCTGCAGAAGCTCTCAAGTTTTCTAATGCATTAAACAATGCAATTGCTCTAAATGATCAAGATGATCATATAAAGACATTCAGACCACAGATACTTCTACTATGTGGAGATCCTGCTCATCGACACAACAAATG